ATAAAATCTCTAGGATTGATGGTTACACATGCACCATATATTTTTCCCCATATTTATTTTCAAAAATTCATTTACACATTAAAAAGCCTCTTCCATTGTCTCTTTGCCACTTCTGTGTCACAATATAATTGCCTATTTCTTATGCTACAATTGATCACTCTACACAGAGTAAGGAAAGAAAGTTGAAACCCCTCAGTATAATGGAAATGCTTGTCTAAAGACATGATCACAGGAAGGCCCATCAAGGAACCACTGGATGGTCTCATTCTCGTGAAAGAGAGATTCAGCTTTGTGTTACAAAGGGGAGTTGGGAGGGAAATATCTTGTGAATGAGACCTGCAGCCTAATTAAATGAATATATTAAAGGTTTCTGCTTCTGACAAGGGAGAAGTAGCTGTCATTCTCCTCAGCACTTTGTGAATTAAGTTGCTGTCCTTCATTATCCCAAAGATTTTTATTACTCTGTTTTTTGTGAGTGCAGCGAGCTAGAACAGCAGAGATAATAGGTTATTATAGGAAAATTTGGCTTTGACATTTATATGATAAATTTGGAGCCAATTAGATGAAAAATACTCCATTAGATAAAGTGAGTGTACCAATTACTTCAGTGAAGAGCTATTGCTAATAATATAATTGAAATGTATAGAGTGCTGGGCACAGCCCTCTGGAAGTTGATTGTATAAATGATGGTAATAACAGACATGTAAATATTTTAGTTCCTAGCCATTTTCAGGCTGTTTGTGGAGTTTTCATAGTAGGAGTCTATTTCCATACAGATGTTAAAAACCCACCCAGTAATTAGCTATGAAAAGCTTGTGATCCGTCAGATTTTCCGGAGTAAATTTTTACAAAATAAAAAAAAAAAGCAGCTGTTTTCAGTACCACTTACATGCTACTTCATGCAAATGAAACAAGTATGGGCGGCAATTAAGCCACATTCTCCCCCTTTGCCCCTGGAAAAACCCAACAGCCCAGAAAATGACATTTTCTTAACTGGAAGAATGAATCACAACAACAACTAAATATAAACAGAGTAATAGGATGAAATTAAGAAAGGAAATATTTTGCTGAGTACTAGGAAGGGGAGAGGCTTTTTGACAGCAAGATGTATTAAACTGTGAAATAGCCTCCCCGGGGAACTGGTAGAAGCCCCAAAACTTGAGACATTTAAATATGAAATTGGACATCACACTAGAATATATATATATGACAGAAAACAAGCCCATGTTAGCTGACAGGATGGGTGGGTAGGGACTTAATAAACAGCTTCCATTTCAAATTCTGATTGCAATGAACATTTATTAATTCAGATACTACAGTGATGACAGCCATATAAGTAGCTGCTGTGCTGAGACCAATGCCTATCATGCCAACCTAGATTGCCTCGTTTCCTGGCACTCCCGCCATCTGTCTATCTCCATCTGTTGTTTCTTGTTTTACACTGAGATTGTGAACTCTTTGGGGCAGGGACTACCATGCCTTTTAGTTCTGTGTTTGTATAGTGCCTAGTACAATGAAGTCCTGCTCCATGAACTACTGAGCAACCTGAATTCCACCCTTCTTCCATGATTGCATGGAAACTTGAAGGCCGCATCTGCTGACTTGGGGCTCGTTTATGGCTGGCCCTGAGCAGGTGTTCTAGAGAGGAATGGGAATGAACGTCTCCTCCACCAGCAGCACACCTATGCAAGAGGCAGCCATAATCCTGCTGCAGAGCACTAGGAAGAACAAGGAGGGAAGTCAACCAGCAAACTCTGCAGTGCTCCATGCCTCAAAGGGATATAGCTATGAACACTGAAGCGCGAGCAGGCCTAGAGAAAACCAGGGAATGCTTTCTATGCATTGTTATGGGAGCCATTGAATACTGTGGTCCCTAAGTACATACAGTTACAACTCCTCCCTTCACAGCACTCACATACTGACAATGCGCATTCAAAAGTGCTCATGTTTTTGCACAGACAAAATGTTTAAGCCTGGTTGCCTTAAAGTTAGGCTTTCAAACCCACATTTAGGAACCGAAGTGGCTTGATTGTCAGAGTCCCTAAGCACTCAAATCCCACAGAAGTCTAGCTAGAGATGTTTAGCATCCTTGAAAAGCAGCTCACTTCTAACTTAAGTGCCTAAATATAGATTTGGGGTCCGAACTAGGGGCACCCAGGTTTAAGAATTTTGGCCATGGACTTTAGGCCCTATCTTTAAAGGCTCAAGCCTTTCTTGTACATTCAGTGTGGTATCCACAGAACAATGCTGAGCTCTTTAAGAGAGCACCATCCATTCTATACAGACATTCCATGCATAAAACTAACTGAAAGGAGAGAGGTTTCAGAGGGGTAGCCATGTTAGTCTAAAGAATTAATTTGCAAACTTGACACCATCAAATAGGCCTGAATAAAGACTGGGAGTGTCTAGGTCACTACAAAAAATAATTTCCCCTCTGTTGATACTCACCCCTTCTGGTCAACTGTTGGGTATGGCCACATCCACCCTAACTGAATTGGCCTCGTTAGCACTGACCCCCCACTTAGTAAGGCAACTCATCTTTTCATGTGCTGTATATTTATACTTGCCTACTTTTTTTTCCACTCCAAGCATCTGGTGAAGTGGGTCATAGCCCATGAAAGCTTATGCTCAAATAAATTTGTTAGTCTCTAAGGTGCCACAAGGACTCCTCATTGTTTTTGGTGAAAGGAGAGAGCTATGGGAAGAGTCACATTGCAGCCAGCAAAAAAAAAAAAAAAAAAAAGGTTTAATTCTCTTTCACTAACAGATAAGCCAAGGCAGGAAAGAGAGATCATGAAAGCATCAACTAGCGCTGAATTTAAGGTTGTGTAAGTGCTTCCATTATTTCCCCTACTCTGTCATCACCTCTTCACTGAAACCTTGTGCTGCCTATTGAGAATTCTTCACTTGAAAATAAGAGACGTGTTACTCAGCATGACTTACCGCAGGAACTTCATACTATAAAAGAAGCCAGGCAACGTCCCAAATCATTTCCTGCTGGTTTGCTAATCCTTTCTTCACTTTCTCGTCCACATATTCAGATAATGGGACCTTGGACCGCCTTTACAGCCAGAGTAACACCTTTGGCTTCATTGAGGATATTTGTTGTTTTGCCTTTTCTAATGCGGGCTAGCTGTACATGCTTTCCAATACTTGATGGCACCACTGTTATTTAGCTCTACAAGCAGAAGTATGACCTCAAATATGTCCTCACAAATTCAGCAACTATTCCTCCCAGCTCAAGTTCCTTCTTGACCCTACCTAACAAGGGAAAACCCTCAATTTTTCTGTTACGAACATCATCTCCCCCCATCTGACCAGCTCATCTGATGCAATCAGTGGGGTTTTTTTTCATAGATATTTAGGTCAGAAGGGACCATTATGATCATCTAGTCTGACCTCCTGCACAACGCAGGCCACAGAATTTCACCCACCACTCCTGCAAAAAACCTCACACCTATATCTGTGCTTTTGAAGTCCTCAAATCGTAGTTTAAAGACTTCAAAGAGCAGAGAATCCTCCAGCAAGTGACAAGTTGGTATCTGTTCTCCACTTCTTATGCTTATCCATGGCAAGCAATTCACATGCACTTTATAGAAAGTTGTAACTCCTACTAACAATCCAGCAATGCTTCGCAACAGCATAGTCGAAGACAGAAGTGATTGAAAATTAAATCATTAACAGTATATAGCAGCAGTTCTCAAACTTTAGCAACCCAAGGACCCCCATGATTTAAAATGTTTTGCAGACCCCCAAGCCAGCTTCTAATTTTCCCCAGGGTCATCAACCCCTGCTCAGCCCCAGGCTCCCCCCCGACCTCTTTCCACCCCCTCGTCTGAGCACGCCCCATCCCCAGTCCTCTCCCTCCCAGTGCCTCCTGCATGCCACTGATCATCTGTTCCACAGTGTGCAGGAGGCACTGGGAGGGAGGAGGAGGAGTTGATCAGTGAGGCCAATGGCCCCGGACATGTCTCGCAGACCCCCTGGAGTATCCTGGGGGTCTGCAGACCCCAGTTTGAGAACTGCTGGTATATAGGCTTTGGGGAGTTTCCTTACTGATCATCATCTGCTATTGCCATGTGCTGAGAACTTCCTAAAAGTTGATTCTAAATTATTGTCTCCTAAACGTTGTACATTGCCTGGGCAGCTGGTATATTGTTAGGAGGCATTTTTCACCCACCTTGCGCAATATTCATTAACACATGCAACAATGGACAAACATAGCTACGCTTTTGTTTCTTCCTTTGTAGCTTTAATGACTGAGTGCTCCATGCCAGAGCAGTTTAGGATTCTAAACAGCTTGATCTAAGGATTCCCACTTTAACATAGACCCACTTGTCTTTAATGCTAAACCAGGGACTACTTGAAGAATACCATCGAGACAGCCTCTTAACTATGACTTATCTCTCTTTCACAAACAGCAAGAAGCATTCTCCACTCCAGGAACTAGCTGCTGTGTTTTACTCAGATTATTATTTTTCACCCACCCACTTGCAATGTGCAGCTGAATCTTTAAACATTTCATCTAACCTGCCGGACCTGGCTTTTTGGTGTATTGTTTTGAACTGGAACTCAGTGTTCCTGAATGGAATGCATCTTGCAAGGGAGAGGTCCCCTAAAAGCTTGAAGACTTTGATAGGAACAACAGCAGAGAGCACTATTCAGGTTAAATATTGCTGACTCTATTTGGCCCTTCAACAAAACTGATCTTGCTCAGTTCACTACCTCTAGGACCTCTGCCAAAGCAGGGTTTGCTGGAGTGCAATGTGCTTCGGTTATTTTTATTGTCACATAGGGAGCTTTTTCAGCACCAATGAATTATGGAAGATCTGATGAAGGTGGAAAATTGTATTTTTTACCACAAGGAATAGTGATACAAGACAAGACAAGACAACCTGCTCCTGTAGAAGCCATTGGAGCAGCACATCTATGTAGCAGTAAATGAATGACTAATTTCAGAGTCGAGAGCTGGGTGTTTGATGATTTATTTGTAAGCATTTTGATTAATCATTAAAATGTTTTTTTCCGTACAAGTCTGTCTATTTGTAACAATATTGCAGGATCCAGCTGAAAAACAGTGGGTCTGATTTTCCTCGTTTCTACTGGAGTAAAACAGGAATAACTCAATGGATTTACACCAGAGTAAGTGAGGCAAGAATCAGGCTCATTTACACCACTGTAAATCCAGAGTTATTCCTTTTGTCCCATTTTGTTTACTCAAGTTAAATTTTAAACAAACAAAATTTCCTAGAACTAAATAAGTCTCAAGAGCAGTCCCCCGCACCCTTTCAATTTAACTTTCCCAAATACAAATCCTCAACAGTATATGCAGGATACTTACACTATGTCAGATACCGAGTTATTTTGTGTTCAGTAGCATTCCCAGTGTGGGGTATCCCTAAACATCTTTGAACTAAAACAATAAACGATTTATGGAACTAGTTGCTTCACCTTTTATGCTCCTTCTCAAAGAGGAGTCAAAATCATCTCTACTGGCCAGGCTTTCAAAAGGGTTCAGCACAAGAGCTCCAAAGAAGAAAAGGTCCTGGGTGTGGAGCGGAGTTGAAAATCCACTAGCTATCATCACCATCATCATTCAGAACAGTTTATTTCCTTCTTGCCTCCTTTAGAACTATCAAAGGCTCTATTTACCAGCACTTCTAGAGCTTCCTCCATAATACGCTGAGTTGCCTTCCAGCCAGGATCTCTGTAATCATTAGATAAATTGAACTGACTATAGAACGGATGTTTGTCTTTAAAACAAAAGAAACTCTCCCAATAGCATATGCTGCCTTTTGCATCCCACGCTTATTTTATAAATACTTACATGTGTAGAGCACCTTGACTCCAAAAGATCTGAAAGTACTTTATAAAAATCTGAGAATACATTTCTCGCACCAGTGAAATACAGTCAATCTCTGGGGTGGAAGAGGGAAAAGCAGCATGAAACAAAGGTTTAGGACAGGAAGTGAAGAAAAATACCATAGGCAAAATTTTCAAAAGGACTTAAGTAATTGAGGAGCTTAAGTCCTTTTTTAAAAGTGATTTATGCCTTGAGGCCCCTTAGTCTCATTAAAAGTCAATGTGATTTAGGCTCCTCAGTGCAAAAGTCACTTTTGAAAGTAGGATTAGGTGCTCTTGAAAATTTAACCTCATCTCAAATTGAGCCCAAAACGGGAATGTAGGTAGGCAAAAAAAAAATGCAAAGTTAGAAACGGATCACAACTCCACCACCTGTTTTTAGCAGTGCCATGGACTCTTTACCAATCACTATCGGTGAGGAACCTGGTAGATCACTTTAAAAATGGGAATTGCCACAGCACGATACCCTATAGACCCCAAAGCGGGCCATTGTTTTGGCACCATCACTAAGCAAAGAGTAATACCTACCAAATTATCAATTCCACTTCCTGCAGCCTCTGGGTCTTCCTCTGGAAATCTCCAGTCAAAAGTGAAAAGCTGAAAAGTTCACAAGATGCCCACGTTTAACTAAAAACCTTCCACAGGATTTCCATTTTAATCAATGGAAGAGCTTCACAAAGTCTGTCTATACCGTTCTAACTAAGGAGTCTAAACTCCTAAACAATAAATATACAATCAAAAAAACTAAATTAAACACAGCCAGCAGCTCTTATGTCTCCAGAACATACTTTCCTTGCTTCTGGTCAACAAATCCTCTCTCCCTTCATCATGAGTGTGGCCTGGACAATTTTATAAAGGTTCTGGACCCAACTAGGCTTATCTGCAGCCAGTCACTTGAAATCAGGGACCCCCCCTGAGTTGAGAAAATCTGAAAACCCAAGCAGGATTTAAGCCAAATAAAACCCCGTAGCACTCAGCAGAGCCACTTACTACAGACAATACAGGGACTTAGGTATGGGACACCCTCCTGGGGGCACCACCCCCTCTTAGACCCAGTCTTAGTTTCCTTGGTGGTTTTCTAAAGAACTGTTTTTGGTAGTGTAATGGGGTGCACTCACCTCTCATGAGCACCCCCTTTCTCAGTGCAGATGCCTACACACTCTGTGGTGGGTCTTCACAGACTCATCCCTCCAGCCACGTCATACACAGTCTGTCTGTAAGATAAAAGCAAAACAAACCCCTTCCGGGGTACAAGTCCAACGGGGGCCTCTTCCAATGCCCTCCATGATGTCTTTCTCAAGTTGTTCCTGGAGGCACTGTCTTTGCCCTTTGAGGGCCTTTCTGGGCCCAGATCTTCAGTTGGGCCAGTAAAAGAGTTCAACAAATTTATTTGAGCATAAGCTTTCGTGAGCTACAGTTGAAGTGAGCTGTAGCTCATGAAAGCTTATGCTCAAATAAATTGGTTAGTCTCTAAGGTGCCACAAGTCCTCCTTTTCTTTTTGCAGATACAGACTAACACGGCTGCTACTCTGAAACCTAAAAGAGTTCAGTCCCCCTTCTGTGGTACATCAAAGTCCAGGCCACTTTCCCAGTGGCTGATGGGGGAGACCCAGCCCCACCCTCTGTTCTGGGTCCCAGCCCAGGGACCCTATAGAGAGCAGCCATGCCACGTCCTTTTATCTAAGCTGAATTGCTGCTCTAATTCCCTGGGCCACTTCCCCACAGCCCCATCTCATTCTTTGCCCTTACCTCAGGATCTTATCCTGGTCTCACCAGACAGTCCTGAGTCTCACCAGACAGTCCTGAACTCCTTCATATTTCCCCCAGCCACTGCCAGCACTGCTTTGTCCAGGGTCCTGTACCTCCCTCAGCCAGGCACACCATCCACACACCGCCAGCTCCAGCAATGAACTGAACTCCTTTTGCCCCTGCAGCTCTTCTTATACTAGCCTGCTGGGTCCTGATTGGCTGCTTCCCACACAGCCTCTCCAGGTACCTTGGAGGACCTCTCTGCTGCCCTTTTCTGGGGTGGGGTGTGGCAGGGCCATGAGGCCTCCCAGCAGGAGGCCTCCTGATCTAGTCCACCATGTCACAGGCATCTACATAAAGTGTACAATTTGTAAACTGTATTTAATTCAGGAAATATTAACCAAAGAAAGCTAATCACAATCAGCTTTGCAGTAGAAACTGACGGCATGCTTTTATATGACTAAGCCTTCCTTGCCAGCCAACTTTTTTGAGCCCCACTCACCACTACAAAAGGCTCTGTTATTACCCTCATTATTGCAGTAACACGGACTCCTGTAGTTAAGGCTGAGTTTCAGCTTCCATTCCATTCTCTCGACCCCAGCCTCAGAACTCTCGCCCCGCAGTTACTCGTAACTTTCTCAGATAAATTCCTTTGGGACTGAAATTTTCTGTGCTTGTTTTTCCTTACAAAAGTTAATATTGTTCTGAATGTTGTATTTCCTTGAGCTATGGATGGGAAGAACACCCCCCACGCACCCCTCACAAGTTCCAGTCAGAATTTGAATGTGTAACTACACAAATGATTGAACAAAACAAAACAAAAAAAACCTTCCAACTTTTCTTGTTTTATAGATCACAATGAGATCCATAGAACAAGCTATGGTTGAAGAAAACAAGTCCAATAGCATTAGTGGTATGTGTGCTTAGGCTGTTCCAAATCCATGTGACGAAGGAAGCATTCAGATGATTTCAATGGCTCCAGATCAAGAAAAAGGCCAGATTCTCTGCTGGAGTACACTGGTGAAGCTCTATTGAGTTCAATGGAGATATGCTGATTTACAGCAGCTGAGAACCTGACCCAAAGGATTGGTTGGTTGGTTTGCTTACTCCAATAGGGCTCTGCAAGTCATGGGGATATGCCTGTGCGAAACAGTTTACAAGAGCGGGGCCTGTGTGGGTATGTCTGTGCACCCCACAAGAGTGAGCCTCTCAGTCTGGGTCAACAGATTCGGGCTAGCAGAGCTCACATTCTCAAAATAGCTGTGTGGACAGCACTCTGAAGTCAGCTCAAGCTGGAGCTTGGGCTCCAAAGCCCACCCCCTTCCCTAGACTTTAGGGCCATGGCTCCAGTCTGAGCTGCAAATTCAAAGCACTGTCTACATAGCAATTTTGAGATCACTAGCATGAGCCCCGCTAGCCTGTTGACCCAGGCTGGGAGACTCACTCCCAGACTATGAATACAAGGAAAGGTGCATTTGGTCTCCTACCCACTCTAGGCCACCCACACTGGAGCAGCCATAACTTAGTGCTAAGAAAATCTCTATTTTTTTTTCTTTTCTGAGATAAGCACCATTGTAAACAACAAAAGGGGATATTTGGCAGTATAATCATATTTCAAATCCTCCTGTGATGCTTATTTGGGGCATATATAGAATTTATTTAAAATTACAGGGGGCCAAAGCTCAGATTTTTAAAGATATTGAGGCATTGCTGTGCTCAGCATTACAGTGCCTAACTGATTTAGGAGCCTACATTTCATTTTCAAAAGGGATTTAGGAACCTAGGATCCAAAATCCCAGGTGGTCAATGAGAATTAGGCTCTTAAGTGTCTTAGCCACTTTTGAAAGTGAAACTTCGGGGTTGCAACACTGAGCGGAGCAATGCCTCCGTACCTTTAAAAATCTGAGCATCGGTCCTTATTTGGTGAAAATTTCACTGACTTCAAGCACAGTTTTGCCAGGAAAAGATGACTGGCATTTGGCCCTTGATTGTTAAACCTTGGGTTTAGCAGGCCAATGCTCAAATCACTGAGCTCTCCCTCCCCCCCAAAAATGAAAATAATAGTGCTCCTTTCCTCCCACCATTTCTCTGTTTGGATTGTAAATTAGTGACAGCAGGAATTGTCTCTTGCTATGTGATCGGTGTAGTACCTAGCATGGTAGAGCCCCGGTCTTGGCTGTGGCCCTCTAGGCATTATCTTAATACAACAATAGATAGTAATAAACAAATATGTATTCATTAAAACCCACCCATATTTGATCCATAGCCGCTATTCTCAGCCCAAGTCTCTTCAGTATTTTTCCTATATATTGATCAAAACACTGAAATGACGACGTTTTAGCTGTACAGACTGCCACCTGTTTACTAAGTTACTCTGGACCATACGTACCCAACCATCTTTTACCACTGAGACCACCAAAGCATCAGATCAGGTGCATTTCTTCTAAGCAAACTAATGCAGACTTTTTTTTTTTTTTTTTTTTTAAGTGCTGTTGTCACAATGTCAAGGCAACAGGGGGAGTTTCAGAAATATGACTTGGGAGCCACAAAAGATTATTAGGCAGAAAATAAAATTCCATTTTCTGCAGTGCTGTATTTAGAGTACAGGGAAAGCTAGATGCTGTTTACTTAGTACTGGATTTATAGCTGTGTTCAAACTTCAATATTTTTTTTCCTCCCCCACACCCACATCCTCCAACTCAATGTATGATCCTGATTCAGGAAGTTAATAGCGTCCAACCCTTTTGGGGATCCTCAAGGGTGAAAACTGTGACCGTGGACGTAAGGGCCCCCCCAACACCCCACACCCCAACACAATGTATGATCCTGATTCAGGAAAGTACGTAAGCCCTTGCTCAACGTTAAGCAGATATTAAAGTCCTATTTCACATGCTTAAAAGTGAGCACACACTTACATGTTTTCTTGAATAGGGGCCTAAAGCACCAGAGGTCGGAGAACAATGGGATTTGTTGGATGCTGAGCTCCTTTAAACGTCTGGCCCACAGTTCATAGAGAGCCCATTGTCTCACTGGGGCATCATTAGTCCCCTGATGCAGCAGTAAAGTTCATCTCCCAGGAAAAGGCAAATAAAATCAAAGTGGACTTTTGAATATTCCTGAGATTTCTAGACTTTATAGTACCCGATCTCTTAAAGAGTAGCATTGGTGGAGGCAGAGTAAACTGTCATTCATTTGACAGCTTTACATTATTCCTTTGGGGACAGCCCACAGCAAAGCACAAGGAGTAATTGAGTTACTCCTCTCCCCATGCAAGGCTCATTGACTCCCCATCAAACAACTTCAGAGTCAAACTTACTGTAAATGAAAGTGGGTTAGCTCAGAATTACAAGTTACCATGTTGGCGCAATCTTTATCCACTAATCGTAAATACAAGACGAGGCCTTGTTTATTGTTAGGTTTTGCATTGGACAGGCCTTACTGTTTTATTGCCCATAAAAAGACTATACAGCAATTTGAAAAGGAACAAAATTTGTGGTCCCTTTTTCCAAAACAATCCTACGTATTCTGGGCCTAATCCTGCCAGGTGCGGAGTCCACTCACTTCCCATTGTGTCAACAGGAATTTGGGGTATTCAGCCCCTCGCAAAAGGTGCTCAGCAACTTGCAGAATCAGGTCCACTTTTCAAGTGTATCCTTTTCCTTCTGCAACAACTCCAGGTATTTAGTTCAACAATCCAGCGGGAGGGTAAGAGTCAAAGCGGAAAGAGGACATCCCTACATCAAACACACTTAATCCATTGATGATCACCACAAGGTCTATGCAGATCAATTGGTGTATTGTCTGCACCTGAGGAATCCAATTCCCCACTATTAAACAATTTTTATGCCTCTTATTTCAGTAACCTTGATGCAGTTAGAATGGCACAAAAACAGTGCAATAAAAATTGGGGGAGGATCAGGCCCAAGTTCTTTAGAACTGAAAATGGAAAAAAGTTCTGCAGAAGAAATAAGGCCCCAATTCTACAGAGTACTGAAGCACACGTAACTTTAAGAATGTTAATAATCCCATTCTCTCTCTCCGGTATTTCTATGCCCCCGACCCCCATCTCTATTGTATCTAAACTCCTTTCAATCTTTAATGTAATTTACCTTCACAACAGCCCTGTGAGGTAGAAAAGTGATATTATCCTATTCTACAGGAAGCGAGGCACAGATAGTCTGTGTGACTTGTTCAAGGTCACACAGGAAGACTGAGGCTAAACTGGGGATTAAGTTGGGCCTCCTCCCAAGTCTCTCCCCATCTCTTCTTATTAAAAATTACTACAGAATTTGTTCAAATAGTACCATACCCAAGAGTGATCACAGCGTGTTTTGGTCTGTTTTTTTATTGGTTTGTGTTTAAAAAGGGATGATAATATTAGTCATGTTTAACTACATAGGGCTTCTCAGCCATACTCTGCCCTGCATTTAGATATTGTTAAAACTAGGGGCGGGAGGGGAACTGACCAAAAAATGATGATGATAATTAAAGCCAATAGATATTCTATGCACTATGTTTGCATACAACACCTATTAACACTAAAAAAAAAGTAATTTAAAGCTACCACTCAAAGAACGGTTGCTTTTTCTGCCCCACCGCCTCCTCAGATGACATCACCTGCTGAGGGAGGAGAGTTGAAAACAGGATTACACTAGAAATATATTCTTTCCATCTGAATACATCTATTATTTCTTGTCTTGTTTTACATTTAAGACTGTCAGCTCCTGGGGGGCAAGGACCATCTTTTTTTTTTGAGTTTGTACAGCACCTGGCACGATGGGGTCCTGGCCCATGACTTAGGACTCCTAGGTGCAATGCTAATACAAATAATAAATACAAATAAAAATAGTATTTTAGACATTCTTTCAAGGATTTTTAATAACTTTGATACTGTTATTACAGTTATTCTTTTTTCTTGTCCCTTTGAAAACAGGTTAAAGCTTAGCTTCAAGCAGATGTTAATGTAAGTGGATTTAAGGCTGGTAAATTGTTCTGGCTCTCTATGGCATTAGTTAAGGAAAGTTTGTCTTCTTAAGCTTTTGGGATGACTCCATTTTCTTTGTTGTTACTGGTGCTATGTTCTTGCTTTGATTTTTTGGGTAGCAACTTCTTCCAGACAGCATGGAGCCAAATACATAGAT